TATATATATTTAAAATGCAATTACTGTATGACCCAGAAATCACACTTCTAAGCATTAATTCTAGAAAAATGAAATACTGATTCAAAAACCTATGTACAAATGTTTATAGCAGTGTCATTCATAATAGTCTCATATTGGAAATAATCCAGAAGTCCTTCAAAAGGTAAATGGTTGAACAAACTGCAGCCCACCCATACCATGGCGTACTATGAAACAATTCCAAGAAATGGACTTTAAATACCTGTGACAATTTGATGAAATCTGTTATGCTGAGTGAAAATGCCTATCCCAAAAGTTATATACTGCATGATCTGTTTATAACACATTCTTGAAAAGACAAAATTATAAAAATGGAGAATGGATTGGTGGTCACCAGTGATTAAAACGGTGGTAGAGGTGAGAAGGAAGTTGGTGTTTCTGGGAAAAGGTACTATAAAAGATGCTTATGGTAATGGAAATATTCAGTATCTTTAGCGGATCACTGTTACTATCTTGGTCATGATATTATACTATAGTTTTAGAAACTATTGTTTGAGGAAATCAAATAAAAGTTTATGGACTCTGTATTATTTCTTATAACTACATATGAGTCAACAGTTATCTAAAAAAGTTTCATTTTGAAAAGTTACAAGATGGCAGAAAAACCAGGAAGCAGGGATGTCAGTTTGTCAGTTATGGCATGAGCCATGGAACCTTGACATCACAGTGGCTGCTAGCCTTGACGACTGCAGAATCCTGAGCTTCGTGGATTTGTCTACAGTGCCCTACCAAGTGCTGTAGACAGGATCGATTCTCAGTGCCAAGAATTTGAGAATAAAAGATGTTCAAGTCAATCAAAAAGCACTTCAAGCTGTCGGGTGGTCATTTAAAGCTTCACCACACAAGGTAGTCTTTTAATATACCACTTTTGATCATCGGAACAGACTAGAGGTCCCAGGAAGTGTTCTGTCTTGTTTTCTCTAAAGCATATGAACTAATTCTTAACTTCAGCACTGGATTCATGAAAAGTACTTATGTTTCTACAGATTTTAGTGCTGCCAAGCTCAAGAGAGCAGGCTTTATGTTCTCAGGGGAGACACTTTCTTGGCTTTGTGGGAGATGGTTTTCTGTAGGTCTATGACAATGTCTGTTCTATGTCTGAAAGAGATTTTTTCTCTGCTCAATCCAGTTGGTTTTACATATTATGACTACAGAGTCCTTTTAAAGCTTTTTTTTACAGCTCAACCAAATAATATCTAAGCATGTCCTTGGACTTCAAAAGTTTTTGATGTTTCTAGTATCATTTGGTGCTTTCAAGCAATGTTTTTCTCCAAATTTGAATCTGACTTAGTTAAGATGGGAGGTAATTTTTCAGAATCCTCGATTATCTCACATGAAAACAAATTGTAATTACTTGTTCACAAATCTCTATGTCATTTTGCTTTATATATTTTGAGTCACGCATTGTCTTGTGTTTCCTTTTTTCCATATTTTAAGTGCTTAGTGAGTAAAAAAATGTTAGATCTACTTCAGTCTTCCTTGCAGAGTGCATCATAGTGACTTAAGTAGCATAGATTGTGGGTGATTGAATAAAATATACTTTTTAATGATATAAAGTGGTTTAAAACATTAGGGATATGTGATTATATTTTTCATTGAGAAATACAGTGGGGGGGAGGGGCAACAGATGGTGTGGTGATTTAAGGCAGTTGGATCCCATGTGGTTCAAATCCTGGACCCAGCAGCTTGAAAAACACGCCAAATACATGTGCATTTGTTATATGTAAAGCAGGGACATAGTGTTTGTCTTTCATAGCCTGACTTCTTTTACTCAGCATTATATCTTCTAGGTTTGTCTGTTTTGTGTCAAATAGCAGGAGTACATTCTTTATGGATGAGTAGCATTCCATTCATATGTGTCACATTATCTATTCATCAGTCGTTGGCCACTTAGGTTGATTTCATGTCTTAGCTATTATGAATAGTGCTGCAATAAATGCGGATGAGCAAATGTCTTCTCAACAGTGATAGCCTATCCTTTGGTTATATACCCAATAGTGGGATTGCTGGGCCAACCAGTAATTTTATTAGGTCATCAAAAAAGTCATGACGGATTTTTGCACAGAAAATCATAGACTTTTCCGACAAGTCAGTATTTTTAGACCTTGAGGAACCGCCACAGTTTTCCACAGTAACATGATAAGTTACATTCCCACCAGTAACTCATAAGCTTTGCCTTTTCTCTACAACCTCACCAGCACTTGTTAGTCTTAGTTTTTGATCATGCCCATTTTGACTGCGGTTAGGCGACACTTTGTGTGGTTTTGATTTGTGTTTCCCTTACAATAAAAGATTTTGAACAATTTTTTTTCACATACTTTTTAGACATTGGTATGTCTTCCTTTGAGAGCTGTCTGTTCCGATCAATTGTCATTTTTTAATTGGATTTACTTTTCCTGCAAATGAGCTATATGAGTTGCTTGTATATTCTAGTTATCAATTCCTTATCCAAAGTATTGTTTACAAATATTTTTTTCTCATGCAGGGCTGTCTATTTATTGTTTCCTTTGCTGTGCAGAAGTTTTTTTTTAGCTTGATGTAATCCCATTTGTCTATTTAGAATGTTGTACAGGTATCAGAGGTCTTATTTAGAAAATCTTTGTGTTTTTGAAACACATAGTACACTACACATTCAACTTTTCCTGTATACCATACTTTCTGAAGCATCCTCTTAATTTCAGAATCTTTTGCATCTGGAGAGGCTGAGACCCTCTCAAATCATCAAACTCTGGTTCTCTCTTATTTAACAATTCTTTCCATTTTTTTTTTTTTGAGAGGTTTTTGCTATAGGGCGCGTGCGCTCGCCAGACAGACAGAGACAGACAGAGAGATAGAAAGCAGGAAATCACCCCCCAGGGGGGATGGCCACGCCGCAATCCCTTCTCCTCCATTCTCCTCTCGGGATCTTGGGCACGCACGCACACGCGCCCGGCGTGAGTTTAAGCCACCGGGTCCGGGACTCGAACCGCGGTCGACTACGTGGGAGTCCAGCGACATAGCCATTACGCTAACTGCTGGTCCCTTTCCATTTTTCTTTTACTTCTCACATTTTACTGGAGGCAGCAAGAACCCTCTCCCTGAACACACACACACACACACACACACCCTCACACAAACAGGTCACCCCTTACCGTACATCACTTGAACATCTCTTTACCTAAATATTTAAGTTCACCATTTAAAATGCTTTCTATATAACTCCAAAGCACAATTTCACTAAGTTTTTTGCCCACTTATAATCAGGATCTCTTTTCTTCCAGTTTACAGTGACGTGTTTTTTGTTTTGTTTTGTTTTGAGCACTTTAAAATCCATATTTCCACCTCCAGTTTGTTTGTGATGATTCAGCTATTCTCTGAGGCAAGTCAGGTTTTCTCGTGAAGCTCCTCAATACCTTCTGAGCCCTCACCAGCAGTCTTGAATGTTCAAATTTCTAACAGTCTGTTCAGGACAATGTAGAATTTTTTTTCTGTTACGCTCCTCAAAATTCTTCCAGTGTTTTCAGAAGAATTCCAGAAATTTCCACTTACTGCTGATTTCAAAGCCACTTCTACATAGTTAAGTATTTATTACATCAGCATCCCACTTCCAGGTACCAACATTTGTTTTCATTTTTTTTCCATGCAGCTATAAAACCAATTACCACAAACTTAGTGATTTAAAACAACAGGAATACATGGTGTACAGTTCTGTGGGTCATAAGTCCGGGTGGGCTTGACCAGATCCTCTGCTTAGGGTCCCATCATGTTCATCAATGTCTATCAGAGTAGTATTCCATACTGGAGGCTCTGGAAAAGGATCTGCCTCTGAGCTCAGTTAAGTTTTCAGCTGACTGCAGTTCCATGAGGTTGTAATACTAGGGTCCCATTTTCCTTGCTGGCTGTCACCTGCATCTGGTGTTTTCTCCTAGGGGCTGGCTATGTTCCTTTTTATGCTATGTGGCTCCTGCCAAGCAGTGGTAGGTCAAGTCTCTCTCACACTTCACATTTCTCTGACTTCCTTTTCTGTGTTATCTCTCTGACTGTAACCAGATGCTGTTCTGATTTTTAAGGCCTCATATGATTAGTTTGCCCTATTAAGATAATCTTCCAATTTTAAGGTTCATACTATTAATCACACCTGCAACATCCCTTTTACCATGTCATAGTCATGAGATCAGGGATTAGGGAATGAGGGCCATTCTGCCTATTCTTAATTTTTTTGGCCTCTTGATTCTTCCCTTCCCCTGACAGCTCACAATTTGCTTTACTGTTTTCTTCTTTTCTCTACCTCTAAGAATTGGCATGTCCCAGAGATCTGTTTTGTTTGTTTGTTTGTTTGTTTTGGTTTGGTTTTAGAGAGATTTTTGCTATTGGGTACATCCGCTTGCCAGAGAGGCAGAAAGGGAGAAATGACCCTCCAGAGGATAGCCATAGCACAATCCCTTCTCTTGTCCTCCAGGGATCTTGGGCATGCACGCACACACACCTGGAGTGATTTTTAAGCTGCCTGGTTCAGGGCTCGAACCTTAGTCTACTACCTGGGAGTCCAGCAACAAAACCATTATACCATCTGCTGGTCCCACCGCAGGGATCTGTTTTTAAACTTGTTCCCCATTCAACTCCCTAAGTGACCTCATCTCTTCTAAAAGCTTTAAAAATCATAACTCAATGACTCCTGAAATGGAGGTCATAATTTTTAGTATACGTCACCCTTGAACTTTAGCATAAAACCCTATCCTATACTAGACCTTTGACTAGTTGTTCTGTAATGTCTGATGTGTGGCAGTGAAAGCCTTTCTGAAGTGAGCACCCACAGTGAGAAAACCACATCGCAGGAGGATGCCAATTATACTCTGCTGATCCATGGCCCCGTGGAATTCAGAAGAGACCAGACCAGGCAGAAGCGGCACCTCTTCCTCTTCAAGAATTTGTTACTTGTGGCTAATACCAGGTATGTATACACTCGTGCACTCCTGATTGTCATAAAATGCATTTCACTAATCCTTACTATGGAAAATATAAGTGATTTTTTTCTCTTATTTTAATACTTTATTCAACATGAATTCATGGAGGTCGTTTTCTATGCTGTTCTGTGGAGCGTACAATCAAAAATGTAACAGGCAAGATCCTACTTGCCTGGGGCTTACAGACAGATGGTAAAAATACGAGAGTGGAAAATTGCAAAGTGTGATTAGTGCTTCCGATAAAAAAATAGATAGGAAAAGGTGAGACATTGTTAGAGAGGGGTCATCTCAAGTGATGACATTTAAACCTGACCTAGCAGATGAAAAGCAGCCTCCATTCTTAGACTAGGCAGCTAAAACTTCTAGGCTGAGGGACTAGCAGATCTAAGGTAGCCACCGCTCAGTCCTTCAGAGGGAGGGTCTCAAGGAAGACCAGTGTGACTGGAGCCTAATGCAGGGGACATGGTGTCAGGTATAAGACTGGAAAAGTAACCAAGGATCTAGTCATGGGAGAGTCTTAGTAGGCCATGAGAAGAGGAAACAATATTATCCTGAAGGGGTTTTAACTCAGGGAGTGACTGTACTAGGTAAATATTTTTAGTATATAGTTCTGGCTGTTGATAGTCAATGGACTGACAGGTAGATAAAAATGGACACAGGGAGATTAGGTAGGAGAGGCAACAGTCTTGATCATCAGTAACAAGGGTACCATCTTGGGAGTGGTAATAAAAATGGAAGATGCAAATGACAAGTTGGAATTTATGCTGGAGACAGAGCCAGCTGGGTACACTTTCCTCTCAACCCTGAACTCAAATGCAACCAATGCACACAAAATAGTAATTATTTAATGTGTGTCTAGAGGCAGGTAGGTGGAAGAAATAGATTGGTCTGGCCATCTGTTAACCTGTTCCATCTCTGTCTTTATTACTTATGGAATATCAGGAAAGACAAAGAATGTTTCAAAAAATAAAATCCCACCAAGAAGCTTTTTAGTCACCAGAGAAAAATAGAACTCTTCTCTGCTGCCCTTACTCAGATTCCCTTTTATACTATGTCACAGATAAGACATGGAAGATTAAGTACTAATTTTGTGAAATGCTATATTTAACTGGAGTAATAGTAATAATGGGTATGATGCATCAGGGCATATTATATGTGAGGTATTATGCTAACGAGTTTTTGTATCTACTGTTGTCTAACCCCTACATAGACTTTATGGGCTGGAATTATTTCCCTTGGCTCACAAAGGCCTGTGGTGACCTGTGATTTTCAAGCCTCCAAGTCCAGGACTCCAACTGTGGTTGGCTGTGTGAAAATCCAGCACCTTAACCCCTACATCACCTGCTGGCCCCAATAATTTTTGTTTTTTAAGATAAAATCTGTCTTGTAAATACTGCTTTGAAGGGTACTTAAAAATTTCACAAAAAAATGAAATTAAAATATGAGTTTATTTTGGTGAAAAAAATCAACAAAGTGGTGCCTTTAATATATGAATATGGCCATTCTCAGTACTCAGCATTCAGAAAAATAGACCATGCCTCCTATGCCTGCTTGCTGTCATTGATAAAGTATGTTCAGAGCCTTCCTGGGCCAGGCTTCACCAAGCACATGCTATGTAAGCCAGTCTACATATCCATGGCTCCCATGATTTTTAAGAAACAAACTAGGTACCAGCAGGTGGCATAGTGGTTCAAGCACTGAACTCCCTCGTGGCCAACCACAGTTCAATCCCAGATTCAGCAGCTGGAAACTCAAGACAGACCCATGCCGGCATGCCCAAAATCCCGAGAGGAAAAGGGATTGTGGTGTGGCCATCCTCCCTCTGGGGAGGCGGTGATTTCTCACTTTCTGTCACTCTGTCTCTGACCAGCACACCACCCTATAGTGAAAATCTTTCTCAAAAAAAAAAAAAAAAAAAAGAAGAAGAAGAAACAAACAACTAATAGGCGGGGCCTCCAGCCTTCAGGCTAGCAACGACACAGTCTGAGAAAGCAGCAGCACCAGATCCAAGATGGCAGCCAGCAGGAGGCTGATGAAGGAACTTGAAGAAATCCACAAATGTGGAATGAAAAACTTCCATAACATTTAGGTTGATGAAGCTAATTTATTGACTTGGCAAGGACTCATTGTTCCTGACAATTCTCCAAATGACCAAGGGGGCCTTCAGAATAGAAATCAACTTTCAGCAGAGTACCCACCAAAGATGGTTTAAAACAAAGATCACCCGAACATCAATGAAAAGGGGCAGGCTGTCTGCCAGTAATTAATGCTGGAAACTAGAAGCCAGCAACCAAAACCAGCCAAGTAATCCAGTCCCTCATAGCATCACTGTGGCTGTTACTAACTTTATACAGTTTTCTTGATCAAAAGTAGTCTAGGTAACTTGCAAAGAAAGGATTAAAAATTTAAGATGTTCTTAAAAAATAAAGAGAGAAAACTAACAGATCTTGCTTGATGATCTTTCTAGGTATAAAAAATGCTTTAAGATAAAAAACAAAATACCACTAAACACCTTATGGACAGCTGACTACGTGGACGAAGTGGGAAAACATGGCAGCCCCTGTGCCGAGAGGTCATTTTTCTTGGGGTGGCCCACAGTGAACTTTGTGGTTACCTTCCGGTAAGTCTCAGAGCTTAGTCATGCGTTTGAATGGGTTAGCTATGGGAGGATACAGGGAACTTGATATTGCCTAAGTTAGAGAAAAATGTCATTTAAATGTTCCCTAAACTATTTTCTTTTTTACAAAGGAAAACATTTTAATCCAACTGTATATGAAATCAGTGGCTCACATTTTCACCTTTCCTATTGACATTTGAGTACCTTTTACTTTGTCCAAAGACATTTTTATGTGCAAGTGGATAGTTAAATAGAGAGAACTATTAATTCGAATAATTTCCTTTGGTTTCAATCTGTGTTTTTCTGGCAGGTTCTATGAGGTATTTGGAGAGTGGATGTTTGGGGGCTATAGAAGGAGAGTAGATGCAGCAAGGTCTAGGGTCGCTGTCCAATATCCCCCCATCCCCAGTGCTCAGAGCAGCTAAGTGACTTGCCTGTGATCACACAGCTTGCATCACATGGGTGCCATCAAGTGTTTATATTCCAAAGCAACCTCTTGTCCACTATGAGGTCTACTCCTCATCATTGTAACACTGTAATACTGCCCATAAAAGAATAGGCCTTCTAATGGGCAATTATGGAGGAAGGACAACTCAGACATGCATCCACATCATAACAATTGGCCGCTGATATTTTTATCTGAGAAATAAGTCTTAATGTTTGCATAAATATTTTGTCATTTATTTTTTCTTCCATTTTTTTTCAAAATCATAGTTCTTCAGAAGTAAAGGAACAATGGCAGTCTTTCCTTCAAAGGTATTTTGTCAGTTTACTTATTTTAAATGTTTGACTTCAATAAAAGAATGTAAATTTCTACAAAGCAGTGCCCCCAAACTACTCGCCATTTGTCTTATTAGAAATTGTTATTATCTTTAATAATAAGTTCTTGTTTAGATTTACCCTGGCTGCTATTGTAAATAATCTTCTCTCATTTTCATATATGTTTTGTTAATTTTCGAAAAAGTTCTGGTTACCACTCAGATCTTTCCCTTCTTTCCACCATGTGGATTCGAGTTAACATCAATCTCACTATAGAAATTAAATCTTCATAAATACAGGTTACTCTGTCAAGCAATTCTCAAAGCAACTAACCCAGGGCCCTCCAATTCAGGAAGGAATGCTTCAAGGACTTGATCTTCTGCCCAAGTCTCATATTATAACTTGTAATTTTCTGAGTCACACCTTATTTCTTTGAAATATTTTTCCCACTCATAATATATATATATTATATATATTTACAGTAGAGTGTGTGTGCTCACTGGAGAGAGACAGAGAGAGGAAGAGAGAGAGAAAGTGAAAAATCACCTCCCTTGGGGGATGACCACACTGCAATCTCTTCTCTTCCATTCTCTTGGGATTTTGGGCATGCACACACATGTGCCCATTGTGTTTTTCAGGCTCCCAGACCCAGCACTCCAGCCACACAGTTGGCCATGTGAGATCCAGCCACCCAAATCACATCACCTGGATGGCTCTCCATATGCTTTTAAACATAACATAAAGTATATTGACTAGCAATAGAGATTGAATTGCAAATAAGCTCTTAACTAATTTATACTGTCCTATTTGGGGTTATTGTATAATTTGATTAGGTATATAAGTCTTGCTAAAGAGAAGGACCAGCCAAAGAGCATTCCCCTCCAAATCGTCACTGAAGATATCAAGGACTGTGTACCTGTAAGTGTTTTTGTTTTTGTTTTTTGTTTTGTTTGTTTTGTTTTGTTTTAGAGGTTTTCACTACAGGGCACGTGCGCTCGCCAGACAGAGAGACAGAAAGCAAGAAATCACCCCCCAGGGGGGATGGCCATGCCGCAATCCCTTCTCCTCTGTTCTCCTCTCGGGATCTTGGGCACATACGCACATGTGCCTGGCGTGATTTTAAGCCACCGGGTCTGAGACACAAACCGTGGTCGACTACATGGGAGTCCAGCGACATAGCCATTATGCTAACTGCTGGTCCCCCTCTAAGTGTTTTTAAGACCAAAAATTAAATTCCAAATTCCTGAGTTAGGTAGAATGAAAGAAAGAGTTACAAGAAACAGAGAAATAGACTGGGAGAAGGGGAGGGATGGAGGAACAAAAGAAGGGGAGAGAGAGATAGCATTTAGAAAATATGGTGTGAAAAAATACCTTTTCATATAAAACATATGTGTGTCTTTGTACATGTAAATCCCAGGCAATATGAATATAAAGCAATATGAATATAAGAGCAAGCCATGTCAGACATAGTGCCTAAGTTTGGAAAAAATATCAATGCAGTTTATAGACGTGGAACATGCAATGTTTTTTTTCCAAGCTTAAGCACCATAGCTATTAACTTCCTTTCAGTTTAGTTTCTGCAACTTGTCTTTCTATTTTATAGAGTAGTTTCTCTATGTGAGGTGTAGCAGAGAGTTATTATAGTAACTTATTTACTGGCAGAGTTGGGAATGAAACTTACATTTCTAAAATTTTAAGTCTTGGTTCCTCAATTCATTGGCTCTCTTTAATTGTCTAAATAGATCTCAATAATGCAAATATTAAAACCATGATACCTACCCACAGAGAAAGTTCTCAGTACCTAATGGTTCTTTTTTTTCTTTTTCTTTTTTTGAGAGGTTTTTACTGTAGGGCATATGTGGTCGCCAGAAAGACAGAGACAGAGAGACAGAAAGCGAGAAATCGCCTCCCAGGGGGGATGGCCATGCCACAATCCCTTCTTCCTCATTCTCCTCTGAGGATCTTGGGCACAAACACACACACACACACACACACACACACACACACACACACGCTCCCAGCATGAGTGTAAGCCACTGGGTTGGGACTTGAACAGCGGTTGACTATATGGGAGTCCAGCGACATAGCCATTACTCCAACTGCTGGTTCCACCTAAGGGTTCGTAAAAGGTGTCTTTCATAACCCGTTCTTATTATGATTTTACTAGAAATGAATATGTAATATGTAAAGAAATAAAGCCATACTATGAAAACACAACTTAAAAAGACAGATAAAAGGTCCACCTTCTCCTTTTAAACTATCCTCTTCATTATGAAAACAGTCTAGAGGTGATGACTAGTCCCTGGTCCTTGCAGAGTGTCAGTAACTTTTGAGTATCAGAAATTCCTTATTTTGAGAAAAATGTGCATTTTTCTGAAATTCTTTCTCCTGGCTTCACAGTATATAAAGGAATGAAAATCAATAATAACGAAGGGTCTGTGCTCTACATGTGCTTAACTGTATCGTTACTTGATACCAAACTTTACCTGTAGTCGTGGATAGTAATTTAACAATAAATATATAATCCTCTGCTTTAAAAATTCTTATTTCTGAGCTTATTTTGTCATTTCTTTTTTGTAGTCTGTAAATATAACAGTTACCAATTCAGACACAGTGAACGATACTATCAAGATGTCACTGCAAATACTAGGGATAACTGTAAGTTACCTGCAAGCTAATTTTAGTTAAAAGCCTTCAATTTTTATTTTTGAGATTCATATATATTTATATATACATACAAGCATGTGTAGGTATGTCGGTGTATATGTGTATATGTACATATGTAATAAAGCACCTCCCTTCACAAAACTGATTAACTGATTATTATAGATATCTGAGTTATATTTAGATACAACTTATTCCAAGTATATTTAAATGCTCCTTAGATACAAGTCTCTCTAAATATGAAAACTCTTTGCAATTGTGACATAATGTCCAAGATTTGTATTAAAATTTTGGTTGACCAAGTGGGATAACAAAGTCCCTTAGAAACTCAAGAAAATCAGAATTTGCCATAAGAAATTAGTGATTTCTAAACTGCTAGAATTTAAAAATACATTGAAAATAAAAGTTAAGTTTTCTCCACAGAATAAAGCAGACACCTCTGCACTAATAAATGTTCCCTGAATAAGGATTGAATCTGGAAAAGCGAGTGGTTTTAGAGGTGGGGCTAGAGATACTGACTTAAAATAGAATACAGCTAGTTTTATCATATATTTGTGATTTTCCTTTGCTAAAAGTGATCAGTAGTACCAGACATAAAAGAATTTCTTTTTTTAAAGAACTAGGGCTATTTGATGATCTGTATATGCCCAACTTGAGGAATTCCATTGTTTTCAACTCCTACCTTAATAGAAAATGTTTTTATTAGATCTTACCTTCTACTTGTGATACAATTTTGAGCAGATTTAACTTTGTGTGTGTGTGTGTGTGTGTGTGTGTGTGTGTGTGTAGATAGCCTCTGAATCTGGGCCACTTAGTATGGATGAGGCCTTGATTTTCAATCAGGAATCAAGGGCAATCATAGTGCCTGTCAACAATATCTCCACTTGAAATATACTTTTGCTTTAGCTGCTTCTGGAAGACCAAATAATTTGGCAGAGTCTGTAGAACCTATATTTGTTTGTTTCAAGTAGGATTTCTGGGATTTCTGGGCAATAATTCCACTGGCGAATAACAATTTCTGCATATGGCCACTTTTATTCTTTCAGCGTCTTATTCTTTCCATCCCCAGACAGGGGCTTCTCTGAACAAAAGCCAATAAGCTGACTTCGCTCGGCCACCTCCTCAAGGCCTATTGGGCATTTGTCTTCCCTGGCTCAGACACTGAGCGTCTGACGCATCCCGAGTTCTCCTGTGCCCAAGTACTGTCACGGCACACGTGTCTCTCTGAGCGCCTGCTGTGTGGCCAGGGATACACGGAGGTAGAGCTCAGCATTGTCCGAGGAGTCGGGAGACACAGCAGGCAGCACTCTCGGGATGAAACTTTGATTCCTTAGTGAAGGGGCATAAATGTGGTCTCTTACTCCATGGGTCCCTCAGAACGAGAGGGCTAATTGCAATGTGGCTTCTGTGACCTTGCAGAAACCGGAGGTCATGTGCTGGAAGCTGAGAAGAGAACTGGGGGTTACTGAAATGAGAGCTGTTAACTCAGACACTGTGGCCACCCCATGGATAGAATAGTAAGATAGCATTTACACAGGTGCCACGTCTTTTCCTTTTGGGAAACAGAAACACTAAGGAAACGTGTTGTTGTTCGAGGATCTGCTATGAAAGATCTGCTTAGTGTTTCTGTTTGTTTGTTTCCGAGGGCTCTGAGGGAGATTACCAGCTGTGTGTCCGTTCTGGTGAGGACAAGGCCCCATACCCACTCATTGGTAAGTATCAGGAAAAATCTAAAATGGGGTTGATTGGGTTCAAAAATTATAACTATAAAGTCTCAATGTATTGATTATTTGGTCTTAAGCTTTAAAACCTATAAAAATAAAAATGGCATGTAATTTTTATTTATGCATTTAATAAATAATTGACAAGTACTTCCTCTATCCCAGACACCTAATAACCTGTTTTTATTCAGCAGCTTGTAATATGGTGGGGAGAAAAGTATGAATTTTTCCCTTCTGATTTTTGCCTTGGCAAAGAAAACTTTCTTGAATTAAAAAAAAAAATTATTATGAAATAAAAATAGACTGGGATTTCTTTCTTCCCATACATTTATTTTTCATTTTCCGGTCTTGGATTATGTGTTCCACCTCCTAACCACTAGGCAGCTTTTAAAATCCAGTCCTGCCTCTGAACGCAAGTACAAGTGTTTACAGGACACTGTTATCTGCCTAGAACTTCTCTCAGCACCATACAGAAGAGGAGATAATCATGCTCAGAGTTTACACTCTTCCCTGACAAACCAACTTGTACTTTGCTGTTAGGTTGAGTTTCCCAGTATTTCTTCTTGTGTTTATTGATGAATAGATTAAACCACTCCTAAAATAGTTATTAGAACAACTTATCCCTAAAGAAAAAAAAAATCTTGGATCAACAAATTTATTCAGTGTGGTTAAGAGAAGTCAAGAGCTTAAAACCAGGGAAGAGACAGGGTCTGCGGCAGACCGTGCAGTACTGTGGAGGTGACGATTTCTCTAGAAGTTATAGAGCAGAGCTTTTTACCTGCATTATCTTCTTCCTACCCTTTTTACAACTCCTATGAGGACATTACTGTGTCATTCAATATGTTTTCAAATGGTCTAAAGAATTTTAAATACCATTTTTTTCTTTCCTATAAAAACTACATTCTTAGTCTTAGACTACAGGGAGTCACCAAATACATAGTTGAGGACAAAATCCACCCACCTAGTTCCTGTTTTTGTTTTTTTGTTTTTTAATGAATGTCGACATCCTTTGCAAATGTCAGCAATAAAGTAAGTGAAAGAAGGAAAACAAAGACTGGAAATATATGTTTTGTTTAAATTAAATTTAAATTAATTTTTTCCCCCATGGGCACTTGCGCTTGCCGGAAAAAGACAGAGAGAGATAGGGAAAGGCAAAGTGAGAAATCACCCCTCAAGAGGGCTGGTTGTGCCTCCATCCCTTCTCCTCCATCATCCTCCTGGGATTTGGGGCATGCACTTATATGCACCCAGCATGAGTTTCAGGCTGCCAGGTCTGGGACTCGAACCACAGTCAGCCATGCGGGAGTCCAGCACCTTAACCACCCACTGGTCCTAAAATATATGTATTTTAATGAGATGCATTAACTTGCTAAAGCAATGTCTAGATGGTAACTTTCAGGCTTAGAACCACTTTGTGCATAGTGACCGGCCCTGAGGAATCCTAGGAGCCCGTCATTTATGATGGCCCCTAAGCAGCTATAATAAACATGCATTTTACCATGCTCGTCGTTCTCAGTTGTGGCTTGACTCATGGTCATCCTGTGACTTGGTTCTATTGGATTGCCAACACAGTAACCACTTTTACCATAAAAATGGGAGGACGCTGTAATTTTTGTTCCAAACAGAGCATCGCTGTTGTATCTATGCCAGATGAAAAGGCAAAGCAATAGCTCACTGAGTTACAGTCACTGGTCAACCAGAAGAGAAAGAAAAGGAAAGTTCCTTCTATTCCTGACAAGTGAAATGCACATCACAGTACAGGATCTTGGCAAATTCTGTGAAGAGGAAGCAATTTAAAGCATGAAAGACCAAAACAAACTTCTTGGCAGGCAACTCCCAGTGATTACGGGTGTGGTTTTCCACTCTGTAAACAGTGTTTCCTGTGGTTGCTTCTGGGTTTCCAACCCCTGTAGCCACGCCAGGACCCACTACCTGGGAGGACCCCCTGGAGGGCAGCACTGAGACAAGCATGCAGGCAGACCACCCACTGCTCTTGAATAGCTCTGGATCTGACAGAGGGAAATGACATTTCCATTAAACTGACTTCACCTGTGGGTCCAATTATTTAATGAATTTTAACCACCAACATTTACTAATATATTCACTTTTATCCTTAGAAGTCTGTGTGATAGGGAAGATAAGAGTTTAAAATGATGAATGCAAAACTAGACAGGTCAAGCGATTTGCCCAATGTGTACAAATCTAATCACGATCAAGGCAGAAACTAGAAGAGCTTAAATATTTTCAGGTGAAAACACAGAAAAGGTCACCATTATGTAATGCACTGATAGACGTATGTAGGCCATGCAAGGCAACATGTTAACTCTATCTATTTCTTCTATTAGTAAGGGGGGTGTGAGAAGGGAGAGAGAGAGAGAAAGAGAGAGAGAGAAAGCACTCCCTACCTGATCTTGATGCCACGATCCACCCCCAGCTCCAGCCAGCCCTGGATCGTGGGCACACACGTGCTTGGTATACTCGAGGAGATCTCCAGATACCAATCTGAAACCACCCCACGTGAGTCGGCCTCACAGAGCATCGTGTTTTAGTACTGGGCCATCATCTAGCTATTTTTTTTTCCTCTTTATTTTCCTAAACTCCTTGGGCACCTGCTTTATGCAAGGTCTCCCTCAGTGAATGAGTGCATGCGATGCACACTCAGGAAAGACAGACTCCTCTATTCCAAAATCCCCAGGAGAACAACAGCAGGTATGAGTGTGTCACAGTAAGGTAGGTTTGTTCATACCTATCATCATCAGCCTCAAACTATATTTACATTTTCTCTGCACAGGGCATGAGCATCCTTATGGAATTAAAACAAGCCATCTTCAAGCCACTGCTCTTCTGCCACAAGGACCAGAATGCACATTTCCATTAAACTGACTTCACCTGTGGGTCCAATTATTTAATGAATTTTAACCACCAACATTTACTAATATATTCACTTTTATCCTTAGAAGTCTGTGTGATAGGGAAGATAAGAGTTTAAAATGATGAATGCAAAACTAGACAGGTCAAGCGATTTGCCCAATGTGTACAAATCTAATCACGATCAAGGCAGAAACTAGAAGAGCTTAAATATTTTCAGGTGAAAACACAGAAAAGGTCACCATTATGTAATGCACTGATAGACGTATGTAGGCCATGCAAGGCAACATGTTAACTCTATCTATTTCTTATATTAGTAAGGGGTGTGAGAAGGGAGAGAGAGAGAGAAAGAGAGAGAGAGAAAGCACTCCCTACCTGATCTTGATGCCACGATCCACCCCCAGCTCCAGCCAGCCCTGGATCGTGGGCACACACGTGCTTGGTATACTCGAGGAGATCTCCAGATACCAATCTGAAACCACCCCACGTGAGTCGGCCTCACAGAGCATCGTGTTTTAGTACTGGGCCATCATCTAGCTATTTTTTTTTCCTCTTTATTTTCCTAAACTCCTTGGGCACCTGCTTTATGCAAGGTCTCCCTCAGTGAATGAGTGCATGCGATGCACACTCAGGAAAGACAGACTCCTCTATTCCAAAATCCCCAGGAGAACAACAGCAGGTATGAGTGTGTCACAGTAAGGTAGGTTTGTTCATACCTATCATCATCAGCCTCAAACTATATTTACATTTTCTCTGCACAGGGCATGAGCATCCTTATGGAATTAAAACAAGCCATCTTCAAGCCACTGCTCTTCTGCCACAAGGACCAGAATGCACCACCTCTCCTCCCACCCTCCAGGAGCCATTCCTGAAGCAGCCGTCCCCAGATATGGAAGACCAGTTCATCCTGAAGGCCAGATGCCCAGCCAGAGGCCAGCAGAGGAACAGTGAGTAGTCCCTTCCCTACCTTCAGATGCCTTCTCTCAGCTCACGTCGCTGTTCCTGATAACAGGTGGCTGACAGTGGGGTCAAATCTCTTCAGTGGGTAAGAGCTGACTGTGATTGAGCCTGCAGAGAGCCAAAAAGGAAACCTAAGAGTAGGAGGGGACTTATTATGAAAGTAGATAGTGATCAAAGTCTGCTTGATTGGAATTTCCAATCATTTTAGCTTTTCAAATGCCATCTGATGCCTGAATCTACAGATGTTACTTAACATCGGGACATTTGTACACCTAGGTGTTATGTGTCTCACAATGTAACGCAGTGGGCAGCAAATGGTACAGCCTAGGAATTAACTGGGAGATCTGAAGCTGAATCTGATCGAGTATCTCAATTTAACTTCCCATATCCTATGTGGGAAGAACGAACATGTTGACACTACAAGGATGCAGTTAGCCAATTTCAGAATGTGGGAAATTCACAAAAAAAGACTCTATCTCTTCTAATCATCACAACAAACATGCTGTAAAAATAGAGATGGGGGAAACAAAAATTCAATGAAGCCAACTACTATATCTAATGTTCTCACGTCTTCCTTAGATTCAGACCAGAAGGCTGTCAGGAAAAGACGGTCTTTCATAAACTGGATGTTTCGGCGAGACACGAGCACTCTCCAGGATACCCCAAGCTTGGCTCCACCAGCCCTGAAGCCGGAAGAATTCTTTGGAGCTTCTCTCGCAGATATTTGTGAGAATGGCAGCCTGCCCACTTCTCTTCTGGTACATCTCATTTTAGTTTTCTGTAACCTTTTGGAAAACTCTGCGGGAGTGAGGCGCTCTTACCAATATCTACCCCTAAAGGGCAAAATCATTAGACACCACTTGCTTTGACTGAGAAGTTTTGATAATATTATTCCAATGAATAAAAATCTGGTTTCTGTATAGCAGAGTCATAAGGCAAACACAGCAGGAAAAAAATATTCTTGTCTGTTCCACCAGTTACAGCAAAAACACATGTAAACTTGCTCAGGTGAATTAGAATGGGCTCTGTATGAATCTCTGTAAGTCTACCTCCCTCTCCCATTTTGTTTTCAGCTTCTTCCTAGAACTCCATGCTGGTCAGGGGTTTCCTTTAATACCTCTTATTCCAAGACTACTCAGTCTCACAATGCAGGACATCTCCCTGTGTTTGATTTGTATTTCAAGTGTCTCAGAGTAAAGATTCATCCTCTGGCATGTATTAATCCTTTACTCCTAATAAATTGTGTCAAATGAAAGCCGTAGAGTTTCGCCGGTGGTATTTCAAATGAGTGTAGCACAGTCAGTGGTAACATTGACTGTGCTCAGTCTGCAGGCAAGATTCTCGGTGCCAGGAGTCCTGTGCTAGCTTTGAAAACACTTATCAGGCTAAGTACATGCTAGATATTACCCCAAACCTTGCATCTTTCACAAAAAGCTTAGTGAGTAGCTATGACTATCTTAGCTTTGCAAATGGGATGAAGAAAAGGCTTAGTTAAGTTTTGTACCATGCCCAGTGTCACCCAGCGGTGGCACAACAGATTCCGAGTCCCTTGGGCTACCTGGCCATTCTACACTGCAAGCAGAGGACACACACCCAGAGCAAATAGAAATAAAAGACTGGTGAGATGCTAGCACAAATGCCCTACAGTGATATATATATATATATATATGGCAGATCTGTAAGGGCAGTCCTAGAACAGCAGGCAGAGACTATCCCTGCTGATCCAGGCCTGCAGAGACTGCCAGCAAACAGTCCACCTGACGGGGCAACCCAGACTCCACACGGTGGGCAGGTGACACTTAGGCAAGTCCTCAGGTTATCTCCCAGCCATTTCCTTCGCGTTTGGAAAAGAGCTTTCTTCGAGACACGTAAGAACTCTCTGAAGCCGTGTGTGTTAGAGACCTGTTCACTCCCCAAAGGAGAGAGAGTAGCTGGTGCAGTGGGGGTGGGGCTGATGGTCCTAGTCTCTCGGAAGAGTCACAACAGTCGCAGCAAATGCAGTCTCTAAAAAACACATCTGGGCCAGCTTCCTCGCATCCTCACCAGCATGGGCAAGGACTATGATGAGCGTGTGCTGCGTGCGGTCCGTCACTACCGAATCCTCAAGTCCCTGGTGGCTCCTTTGATGCCAGAGGGAGCTGGTCTCCAGACACGTGAGTGTTGAACTTCAGGAAGGAGATCACAGAAGCGGTGGAAGCCAAGCAGGTGGCACAGCCGAAGGCCAGATTCATCGTGGAAAAGGCCTCGCAGCAGCAGAGGCTGCCGTCAACTCTGCCGAGGGCGATTCCAAGGCAGCCGACCTGATGGCCAACTCACTGGCCCTGGTGGGCGACGGCCTCACTCAGCTGCACAAGCCAGAGGCCGGGAGGACATTGCATACCTGCTCTCGGGCTCTGCAACACCACATACCTGCTCGGGGTCAGCGCTCCTCCAGCTGCCCCAGTGAGGCCGCCTGCCCGAGCTGCGTCTGGCCCGCTGGGCAGAGCCAAGATGACGCCCTTCCGTCCCCACCCCGGAAATCACTGTGAGATTTCATGATTGGCTTAAAGTGAAGGAATTAAAAGTAAAATACTTCAGATCTCTTAAAAAAAATAGTGCATAGAGACGGGAAGTAGGAATGGAGTACATAAAGACGGTGTAACATGCATATGATGAAAAACTTAAGCGTCACTCTCAAAGTTATTTTGCATCAAAATAAACTTGTACTTTAATTCCATTTTCCCATGAACTTTTTGAAGTCATTGTAGTCACTTATGAGGGAATAAACACATGGTAAATGAGCATGCCAAAAAGATTTCCATACTTCAGGAAAGGCATCTAGATTAGTGGATAATGAGAAATAAAAATGGCCAAGAAAAGGTGACTCAGCAAAAGCCTCAAAGCCAAGAAGTTTGATTTACAAGTGTAAATTCACTGAAAAAGTAAACCTGATTAAAACAAGTGTTTAAAATGCTTTAGTGTATGAATATAAAATAGATTGATGGGTACAACATATATTTAGAGGGTCCAGCAAGTGGCGTGGTGGGTAAAGCACATAGACCTCACATAACTGACTGTGTGGTTCAAGTCCCAGACCCGGTACTTAAAAAAAAGTCAGGTGGGTGGGTGTTCATGCTTGGCCAAAATCCTGAAAGAATGGAAGAGAAGGGATTGCATCATGGCTTTCACCTCTAGGTGTGTTTTCCCACTTTCTCTCTCTCTCTGTCAAGTGCACCTGCCCTATAGCTAATTTTTAAAAAGAAAAAGACTGATGCCAGAAGGTAGCATGACGGTTAGTGTGTTGGACTCCCACATGGTCAACTGTGGTTCAAGTCCTAGACCCAGTTGTTTGAAGCTTATGCCAGGCACACGTGTGTGTACGCCCAAAATCCCTAGAAGAGAATGGAAGAGAAGGGATTAAGGCATGGCCATCGCCCCTGAGGAGTGATTTCTTACTTTCTTTGTCTCTGTCTATACCTGTCTCTCTCTGGCAAGTGCACATGTGCTATGGCAAAAACCTTTAAAAGAAAAAAAAAAAAAAGAAAATATATTTAGAGACAAAAGAAGAATTCAAAATTTATTTCCCCTCTCCCAGCTCCAGCATCTTGACCTAGTATACTTTAGTTCCTGTAGTCAAAAAGAGAGCAACCTTGTCTTCCAGGCCTGTGGATATGAAATGATATGTACTTTTCTTTCCTTTTCTTCCCCATAGGATATGCTCTTCATCCTCAATCAAAAAGGGCCTCTCACAGAGGGTATCTTCAGAAAATCGGCCAATATAAAGTCATGTAGAGTCCTAAAGGAGAAACTAAACTCCAGAGTCAAAGTGGACATGGACAGTGAATCTGTTATTGTAGTAGCATCTGTCTTCAAGGTAAGGGAAATTCAAATATTGTCCATATGCAGCAAACTCAGAAGCTGTACTATCAGTCTCCTTTGTCATGATTGCCCAAGAATAAGAGTAGGCAGAACAGGTTAAGAATCTGAAAACAGCCAAGCAACCTCAGTTGTTCAAAACTCCCATATGTTAAATAACGCTTTCCCTTTTCATCCTTCTTTGTCTTCACTCCTGAACACTTCATGCAAAATAGTAATTATAATGATAATTAGTAATAACAATAAAGTAAATGTCAAAATACACACCTGCACACACAGAACATTTACCAAGACAAGCATCCTACATTTTGTGACTTCCTCACTGCCTTTCTAATGAAGGCAAAGTTTCAAAAAAAAAAAAAAATGCTTATTGAACTTTTGAAAATAGCTATAGATGTTTACCACAGTAAGCAAACATTTATTTCATGATGAAATTAAAAAAAAAATCTTTGGGACCAGCAGTTGGCATAATGGCTATGTCACTGGACTCCCATATAGTCAACCGTGGTTTGAGTCCCAGACCCGGTGGCTTAAACCCACGCTGTGCATGTGTGCAAGTGCATATGTGCCCAACATCCCGAGAGGAGAATGAAGAAGGGATTGCGGTGTGGCCATCCTCCCTGGGGGGTGATTTCTAGTTTTCTGTCTCCCTGTCTTTCTGGCGAGTGTATGCGCCATATAGCAAAAAACCTTTCAAAAAAATAAAATCCTCACGGGGACCACCAAAAGCTTCATTCATTTTTATCATTATTCCTTCTCCTGTCTCTTAGTTCCTATACTTTAAAAGTGATGTGTGGTTGGGGGGGCAAACACTGGTTATGATGCTGGATCCCACATGGCCAATTCTACAGTTTGAGTCCCACACTGGAGGACTTGAAAAACATGCCAGGAACATGTGCATATTTGCCCCAAATCTGGAAAAGAGAATGGTGTGGTGTGGCCAATTCCCCTGGGGGATGATTTCTCACTTTCCTTCATTCTCTGTCTTTAGGGAGAGTACATGCACCCTATGGCAAAAAAGTAAATTAAAAAAAAAAAAGTATAGGCGTGATTCCACCATTTTTGCCTTTTTTTTCAAATGAACCACCTTTGGTATCCTTTATTAATACTTTTTTTGCTTAATCCACTACCCAAAATTACAGTTACATAGTAACTGGGTTCTCTCAGAGCTTCTTCTTACATATGTGACCTTTAAAGCAGATGCTCCAACTAAGACTAGTTTGGAATTCTGGAAGTTCAATAAATTTATACCAAAAAAATAGTTGTTTTGAATGGTACAGTTAAATCACAAGCATCCAGGTGTATTTCTCCAAGTAGAAATAATAGAACAGAGAAAGAAGTTAATCCATCTTGGTACTTATTAACAGGTCTGAACAAAAACACAATAATGAGTATCAAATATGTTCATAAAATTAACTTAGAATCTCAGTTACACTTGGTATTCCATAACCCCCATTAATATTTGGCCATAGGAGAAATAGCAGCAGTTTGGTTCATCATGACTGGACTGAGACCACAGTGATAGGCACTGGTTATATGAGAGACTCATTCCAACCATAGCAAGCTGTCAGTGAGCAGAGACCCAATAGCCAGTACCCTTAGCATATGCTACTTGGTGGTATTCTGGCTGTATCACCCAGCCCCACCAAGTGACTGCAGCACGGGGTCTGAGAAACCAGAAAGGAGACACGTGTTCTGAGCCAGAGCCAGTCGGAGCTGGAAGGCTCCTCTCTCCAGCATGTTGGAACCACTCCATGGGAAACACAGTGAACACTCACTACCATGAGGAATAGGACCTTGTCTATCTTATTCTCTGTTCTACCCAATTCTACCATTCCTTGCATAAACAGCAACTCAGTACAAATTAGAATGAGTAAAATGACCACTGGCTTATAATCACGATAGTTCCCGGAGGCATTTCCGGAACTACTTGCTATTAAGAGGAGTCTTGGGCTATTTAGTAAGACTAGTAGAAAAAAGGTGTGCCTTTGAAGCTAGAAAGGTGGTATAATAATGTCCTCCCTAACCCCATTTTTTTCTTTTTTTGTTTACATAAAATAATTATACGTATTTGTGGGGTACAATGTGATTTTTCAGTACAAAAATACAATGCCTATTGATTAAATCGGGCTAATTGGTATACCCATTATCTCCATCATTTGTCATTGTTTCACCACAGGAACACTCACAATTCTTTTTTTTCTCAAGTTATTCTGAGATATACAGTAAGGGTGAATATAGTTTACTTCCCAGTTTTACACAAGAAAATGAAAGCTTCATGACTTCTTTTTTTTCTTTTTTGTTTCTTAGATTTCTTGTCATAGGGCATATGTGCTCACTGGGGACAGAGATAGAGACAGAGAAGGAAAGTGAGAAATTCCGTCCCCACCCTGGGGATGACCACACTGCAATCCCTTCTCTTTCATTCTCCTCTCTGTATATGGGGCACATACACGCATCCAGACACTGGGTCCAGGACTGGAACTACACTGGTCATGTGGGAATCCAGCAACTTAACCACCACACCATCTGCTGGCTCAGTTTCTTGACTTTTTCCAAGTCCAGTTCTACAGTATCAAGGCTCGTTTGCCAGCCATATAAAATGACATATCTTCCAGACCACCACTTAGAAAGCTTACATGTGCATGCCTCTAGCCCTGACTACCTGGAGGCCTGAACTTTCAGCTAAATGTTGATTATTTTTTCCTTTTTTTTTTTTTAAGGGTGTAAGGGATCAGTAGAGATTTTAGTATATATCCAATAACCTGCTGCTTACAAGTTTAAAGAGTTAATTTTTTATACAGTTAAAGAATGAATTGTTATGAGAGTTTATCTTGAAGAGCGTACCTTGCTCAAGTCAGAAGACCCCATCCTTACTTAGCCTATGTGCATGAATGTGAGTGTGCATATTTGGGGCATTTCATTTCAGGATTTTACTTGCTAGGAACCAAAAGCACCATCTAAAATACACGAGCAAAATACATGCTGATTTCATTTCAAGAAATTAATAGGGTTTAGGATGATTTATCAGCAGACCTCAGTTCATACTAGTTTGCTAGAATGTACTTAGGTACTTTCAGATGGACTTTCAGAGGCAGGAGGAGTCTATGTTCTTTTCCATCACTTCCTAGACTGCTCTTGTGCATCCAGTTTTAGTTGGAGCAAGTCCAAGCACCTGGTTCCGGGTGTGTGAGTCAGTGTAGAACTGGGGCTGCTCTCTGAGTAGGTCACAGCTGGGGTGACTCGAAAATAGTTTGGGACTCAAAAGGATGTTTCAACTAAATGTTTTCTCTGTGATTTCTCCAATGTAGATTTGCCATTAGAATAATAATATTTTTAAAATCTGTGTTAGGATTTTCTTCGAAATATCCAGGGAAGCATATTTTCATCCAATCTTTATGATAAATGGTGCGATGTTATTGATCTAGAGAACGAGGAGGAAAAAATACCTGCAATCCAGAGGTAATGATGTAATAATTATTCGATTCTGGGTACACCTAAAGAATACCAGCACATCATAGCCAAACATGAACTTATAGTATACAGCTTTATCCACTAAAATAATGACCAGTGTGAAAAAGTTTCATCTGGTCACGTACATGCAGGCCAGTTTAAAAACAGACGTATATTTTATCACTCTTATTAAATTCTCATTATTCTTCTGGTGTCATTAAATTGTAATCCTTGACCATTGTACACATTCCGAATATATGATATCAATAGGAGATGGAATTCATTGGTCTAAGAGTTACACTAGAGGACCAATCACCGAAGTCCATATCTGATTTAGGAACTGAGTCCAATAAAACAGTTTTGTATGCATTCTTGCCTGGAGTGAGTGTGGGCTCTTAACACGAGACAGCATTCCTGTGTTCTACCTTAAAACTAAAGGAAACCCTTGAAATGTAATTTTTGTTTAGTCTCATCATTATACTTTTCACTGAGCACATTCTGGAATGCTACCAGGGTTTTTTAATGTACTTATGTTAAATTAGATATTAGATAGAAAGTTTACTCAGGTTAAGACACATTGTAGTGGTTTTAGGGAAATATCTTGGGCAGTATTTTTAGGATAGTTTTCTCCAGTCTTTTATATTAGGGGATGTAAATGATATACCAAAGAAAATATACTGTTTCCTTTTTGTGTATTTACAACTTCCTAAGTAATATCACTTGCTTCAAGAGTGTGTTTTTCTATGTTTAGGCTTTTGGAACAGCTGCCAAAACCCAACGCTGCTCTCCTGCGATCTCTCCTCGGAGTGTTACACAATATTGAGCAGCACTCCTCGGCCAATCAGATGACAGCATATAATTTATCCGTGTGCATAGCCCCAAGCCTCTTTTGGCTGCCTATTTCCTGCAGCACAGAACTAGAAAATGAATTTACAAAAAAGGTAATGAGGGCTCTAATTTGTGTGCCCTCGGGAGCAGAGTCCTCACTTAGAACCTGAAATTCAGGATATTAACTCTAATGGGCATTTTTTAAAAAATGTGTTACACTTTAATTACACAGATCTGGAGTGGCAGGGTCATTTATATTATTTTGGTGACTTATGGAAAGGTGGGTTGCTAAGTGGGAAATCAGGAGTCGTGTATCACTTCTCCTTGCCCATTCATGAGACAGAGCATAGATTGACTCAAACATAGATAAGAAAGAGCCTAGTTTTAGAGTTCCACATCCCAAGGTTTAACTCTAGGTCTCACCCTGGAAGGGTGTGTAATCTTGGGCAGTTTTCGAGCCACGGTTTCCTCCTCTAAATAATGGCAGTGGTCACAGCACTTAGCAACCCTGGTCATTACTGACGCTTCCCAGGTGGCCTGGGCCGTGTGAGAACCCGGGGCTCCACACACATTAGCCTTTCTCTGCCAGTCGTGATTGGCTGCTCTCTGGTACCATGATAAGAAAACTGGTAAAGATTCCAGAATATCCAGTGGAGCCACTACATGCCTACCAAAATGGAGGCTCTTCCCCAAGCTAAAACAAAGAGCAAGCCTGAAGCAAGACAATGCCAATGCCTAGGGTGGGACGGATAGCCAGGATAGTCTCATGCTTCCTCCTTCCCTCACAAAAGATCCATAGACGATCTCTGGTTTCCAAGTTTATGTTATTTCACTAAAGTGAGTATTCTAAGTTTTTGCCTAGTGGACAGTTTATAAATTTTAAATAGAGAATATACACCTCCACCCCCCAAATCCTACGTCGGTTACTTAAAAATTATCCTGATATTGCCACTAATACAAAATCTTTAGCTAGAAAGCTGGCCACCAGTTATACCTGTAGTCCACTGATATTAAGTATTAATAATATTAATTAATATTTTACGATCTATGCCCTACATACTCATAGTTGTTTCTCAGGAAAAACTGTTTCAGATGTTTTTTTTTTTTTTTTTTTTACATCAAATCTGCATTTTTTCCAGAATGCTGAATTGTATTTTATTTGTTAGCTCCAAAATTTATAAATGAAATATGATTTTTGACTATACCAAGTGAAAACGGGCATCCTAGTTCTGCCCTTCTGTGTTACAGGTTTCTTTTATACAGTTTCTCATTGAGAACTACCTCAAGATATTTGGAGAAGACGTCACAGTCTCCGGGGAGAGCTCACCGAGTTGTACTAACAGTGAAGAGGATGCAGGTACCCTGAATAACTGATCTGGTTTTGGTAGGAAACAGCCAGCGGGGCTATGGGAGATGCTTAGACAGTGGCTGTGCAGGAGCCCTGGGCAAGTGTCAAGGGCAGTGACACAGGGCCCCGGTTGCCATCTCCTGCTCTTCACAAGCAGGCTCATAGGCCCAGGCAGGTTTCACACTGTCAAGAGACCAAGAGATAAAAGGAAATCACTGGCTTCAAAATGTTGCTAGTGCAAATCAGAGCACCCTCAGGAAACATCACAGTATGATACAGGATTTGGGAACTTTTCTGAAAAACTTTAAATAGAACCTTTCCATCTAAATCTATATTTATATATAATGATGTGCTCTGATTAGAACCAGAGGTAGGGACCCAAAACTGTTTAATTTCTCCTGCTTGCCACTCAGTGACACTTTAGGCACTGTAGGACTCCAATGCTCTTTGACACTATCTGAAAAGAACCAGAATCATCGAGAAAAAAAAGACTTGAGTTAACATAAAAAACCTTTTGTCAGAATGCAAATCGTGTGCCACCATGTACCAGTTGTATTCTTTGGCCAGTTAATCTCTTTCCACCTCAGCTCATTCATACTAAAATATGAATAAAAATAATATCTAGGGACCAGCAGTTGGCATAATGGCTGGGTCACTGGACTCCCATGTAGCTGACCGCGGGTCAAGTCCCAGACCTGGTGGCTTAAACTCACATCGGGCACGTGTGCGTGCAAGCCCAAGATCCCAAGAGGAGAATGGAGAAGGGATTGCGGCGTGGCCATCCCCCCTGGGAAGAGGGTGATTTCTCGCTTTCTGTCTCTCTGTCTTTCTGGCAAGTGCACATGCTCTATAGCAAAACGAACAAACAAAAAAACCTCTCCAAAAAAATTAATAATGATATCTAAATTTTTGGATTGGTTTAAGAAACTAATGGAAGTAAATGAAGGTAATGGAAGAAAAACAAGTCTTTAAGAAAAGAAAGAAATTCATCGAGTTAGTAGAAGTGTCCCTGAAACTAGAGCTAGTGTGATTCGCACTCAGCTAGTAGCTCATTGCCCGCAATCCATTTTATAGGTAGAACTTGGAGACATCGAGAGTCCTTCCTGTTTTTGTCATTGCTTGGCTTTATGGCAGTGACCTCATTGCTCTGAGGAAATCTTTAGGAACATCCATTTGATCAGGATCTTAATATTTGAGAATGTTCATACCAAAACGTCTTTCTGTTTTTTATTCAGCAGTGAAAACAGAGCAACCTCTTGAAGTCAAGTTAATAAGAGTCATTGTAATATACAAAAAAGGCACGACTACGGGAAAAGGCCAAGTTCTAATCTAGCAGGAGCTCACCCGGCTACCCGTCCACTATTTTCAAAGTCACTGAAGCTTAAATCTGTGTAATTACATTTCTCTCTTTCTTTCTTTTCTGTTCCTATGATATTCCACTGGGAACTGTTTTTCCAAAATGTTTGCAGGATTTTGCTGAATTTAGATGAAATCCTCAGGTTCTATCCAAAAATAAGTGAATTTCTTGGCAAAAGAGTCCATCTAAAGTAAGACAACCACTTTAAATCATGTTTTTACATAATTTGTTTTTCAGTTGAACACTAAATGAGGACCTTCCAAGTTCCCAGTTTATTCTACTTGAGCTTTTTCATTTCCTTCTTCTATATAACCATATTTAAGAAAATCTTTCTATAAACTATGTCTTCTATCTTCCCTTTCTATGATATTGTATTATATTTTTGTATTATATATATGTTTTTATTAATAAAATAAAAATCACTTTATAACTTGTGACTTAGACAACTATTTTATGTGCTTATGACTCATATTAGGACTTTGGTGTAGGCTCAGCTGGGTGATTCTTCCTCTGGTCTCACCTGGTCACTCATGTGTCTGCAGTTACATGGGCAATTCTAGTGGGTTTAACTTATGTGTCTTTTGGTTGTTTCTGGCTCTCGGTTGGCTCCCATGTCTTAAACGACAAGCTAGTCCAGACATCTTTGCTCAATGGAGGAAGAGTTTTCATCAGTAAGAGAAGGAAGATGCTTTTCAAACTTCTAGTTACTTCCCATTTATTATCATTCCATTAGTCAAAGTCCAGGATTATATGATCAAGCCTGAAGTCCATGAGGGAGGGGACTGCAAATATAACACATACATACTTGATTCCACTATATATTTGTGCCACCGAGAATGCGCTTGTAGGTTTATACGTCATTCAGAAAACTAAAATTTCTGTGGTCAATGACTATCTTCTGTTGGTTTTATATTACTTTTAATACCTGGCTATATGCCTTTTAGGAGACATTTAGAAAATGCATGTGTAAGTGAATATGTATGTGCATTTCTCTGAAAATATAGGGATAATACATGGATTATGTCTGTAAATTTATTTTATCTTATTTTTATTTATTTTTAAGAAAGACTTTTGCTATAAGGTGCATGCACTCACCAGACAGACAGAGACAGAGAGAAAAAAGGTGAGACATCATCCTTCAGGAGGGATGGCCATGGCTCAATTCTTTCTCCATTCTCCTCTCGGGATTTTGAGCATGCATGCACATGTGCCTGGCCTGAGTTTTAAGTTGCCAGATCCAGGACTCAAACTGCAATCAACTACGTCAGAGTCCAGCAACATAACCATTACACCATCTTCTGGTCTCCATGTCAGTAAATTTTAAAACCAAAGAGGTGGAAGAGTACATATGGAATTTCAATGAGCGACAATAAGGCATGAAGTTGGCAAACAGTACAGTTTTTAGATATAACTTTATAGCCTTTTTTAATTCACATACATACAGACTTTTATTCATTGTGCAAAAAAAAAATGAGATATTTACATATTTGGGGAAAATAGCATTTGTGTGAAAAGTCTCTTAAATATCCCATCATAGTTGCAGAACCTAAGGAGAAAACAATATGTCAGGACAATCAATGTCTTTGTCAGTTTTTGAGCCAGGAAAGAAGGTGTGCAAAATTCTCTCAGATTTGGAGAGGAGATGGACATAATAAGGGGTGAAGACAAACAGAATCATTTGATTTGTTGATTACAACTCATAGAGGAGATAGATTCTAGCCATATGAGGAAATTGTTAATGAATGCCAGTTTTTCCCTTCGGATACTCAAGTACAATATCTCCTTGAGAAAGGCAATTTATTTCTTAATTTTGAAGAGAGATCCTAGGGACTGATAAACTGTAAAAGGACCCAACTGTCTAATCTAGAATGAATAAAAGGCAATTAGACTTTCGGATACTAGTCTGTGCCATAGCTGGCAGTAAGGCAGTATAATCATTCATCAGTCTGCACTCAGCGATGTAATTAAGATTAAACATTTCCAAAACACAAAGTAAAGGTACTTACAGTGAATATTTTATTTCAAGAAGAAAACACTCATAGGCTACCTAAATCAGAAAATAAATTCTTGATGGTGGGGATTAATTATCATGACATATTGAATGGAATATATATATACAGGCACTTATTTATATACAGACATTTATTTATTTATTTATTTTGAGAGGTTTTTGCTATAGGGCACGTGCACTCGCCAGAAAGACAGAGACAGACAGAGAGACAGAAAGCGAGAAATCACCCCCCAGAGGAGATGGACACTTCACAATCCCTTCTCTTCCTCCATTCTCCACTCAAGATCTTGGGTTCACATGCACATGTGCCTGGTGTGAGTTTAAGCTACTGGGTCCAGGACTCGAACTGCAGTCGAGTACATGGAAGTCCAGTGACATAGCCATTACGCCAACTGCTGGTCTCCAGACACTCAATTTTTATTCCACAAGAGCAACATTTAAGAATTTAGAGGAGATGCTGGACTCCCACTGCGGTTAGAACCGTGGACATGGTGGCTTGAAACTCACACCGGGCACTGGCACATGGGTGGCCAAGATCCCAGGAGGAAAGAGTAAGAGAAGGGGTGGCGGTGTGGCCATCCCTCTAGGGAGTGATTTCTCACTTTCCCTCTCACTGTCTGTCTCTCTCTGACAAATAGACACACTCTAAGGCAAAAACCTCTACAAAAAAAAAAAAAAAATTGGGAGATGGAGTGTAAATTAATACCAAAAAACAAAACCAAAAAACCTTTTTATTCAGGCAGTATTGTTTGTAATTTTTTTCACACACATGAGATAAATGAGCCAGTACTGCAAAGATCTATAGAGGGTGGTGACCTTATTTTTGTTTCAGTTCACATGTCCATAGCATAATTGGTACTGTGAAGATACTGGTTTCTTTTTGGCCTTGGTCTCAGTTAATATTCATTTGGCTGGCTCAGTAATTCCAAAGAATAAAGTTGTTCCTAGAATTGGACTAGAAAATAAAATCACCAAAGAAGAGCTATAATTTCCTAAAATGGTAAAAAGAGATACTATTTTGTGGGTTTTTTCCCCCCAAAATGTAAAGTTATTAGACTAATTGAGAAAGGAAAAAAACAAAAAAATCAACAGAGACCTTGGATCATAGTTACCTCTGAGGAAAGGAACAGGATAGAGCAAAGGTGGAAATAAGCCTAGCTATGCTTATTTTCTTTTAAGGAAAAATGCTAAAATGCTAATGTTATACCACACGCTTCAATTACTTATAAAAATGTTATAGGCAATTTTATTACTTCAATATCCACAGCATACCCACGTATGTGTCTGTGTGTGTACCTATATACATAAAACATGAAACATTGCTCAGTGAATGAGTAAACAACTGAGGTACAGAAATTTTTATCATTTAGTGACTTTTTTGGTTTATTTATTCCAGGAGAGAAGAAAAGAGAGAGACAAGCACCCCAACAGGGGCCCCATGCAGCCATCCACTCCAGCCTCAGCCAGCTTAGATCAAGGGCACACACACATATATGCATCCTGTGTGCACTCGGGGGTGGGGGGAGTTGGGATGTGAGCCTGTGACCTTCTCGAGTGGGGCCCAGCATCATGGGGCATTGCATCACCACTACACTATCAAGGCTACACCCAGACTTCCTCGTGTTATATTTTATTTTAAGCACTCAATGTGTTCTCCAGTCTTTCAACATGAAAATATTAAAAATTGTAATGGACAGTAGAGACAAAGTGGAAAGAGAGTGTGTGAGGGGAAGAGCATAGGAAAGGAAATTGGGGGGGGCACAGGAGAGATAAGACCCTTGTGGGACACAGACAAGGTTTATTATCTGTTGACGAGGATGTGTATAATAGTCTCAACTGGGCTGGACTGAGGTGTACATCATGCTGGGTAAAGTCTCTCCACTATCTAGATGACGTATAGTGATTTAATGTACAAATAATAAAATAATAATAATAATAATAGAAATGTATACTCTAAAGACATATGAGAAAATGTAAATTAAAATAAATAAATAAAAATTTAGGAAAAAAACACTCAATGTGTTAAAGCTAATTCTAATTGCCAGATGTATGGAGGATTGACCCCTTCAGGTGTTCTGCCCACAGTACTGCTCCTCAATCAATTCAGACTTATTTCAGCTACTCACAACCTAGGCTCCTCATTCTCCATGGGTCGGTTTCCCAGAATCTGTTTTGGTCATTCTTGCTCCAGCACTTTGCCTCACACTAAACTGCCACTCCTAGACAATGACCCTTCTCTCCTCTTTC